TTTTCGCTTTTTATCGACGCCGAGGCATCAAGTGGGCCAAGTTAGGGTTTTTGGTTTTTTATTGACGCCGAGGCATCAAGTAGGCCAAGTTAGGGTTTTTGGCTTTTATCGACGTCGAGGCATCAAGTAGGGTCAAGTGATGGGTTTTTGGCTTTTTGTCGACGTCGAGGCTTCAAGTAGGATCAATTAGGGTTGTTTTTGGCTTTTTGTCGACGCCGAGGCATCAAGTAGGCATCAAGAATATCACAACATCATGACTATCACAACATCATGACTATCACAGCATCAAGAGTATCACATCATCAAGAGTATCACAACATCAACAGTACTACTAGAATGCCATAGTTTGACACAAATTGATCATAACAGTTGAGCATCACAGGACTACTAGAATTTCAAAGTTTGATACAACATCAACACAACCAAATCACCATCAACACTGGAGTAGCATGACTGGAGTAGCATAACTGGAGTAGCATAACTGGAGTAGCATAACTGGAGTAGCAGAACAACACAACATAGTTTCACGACACAACCAAAATGCCATAGTTTGATACAACATCAACACAACCAAATCACCATTATCACCATTCTGCACCAGAGGCAGTCAAGTAATCCTCCATTCTGTTGCTGGGCTTCCTGACTCTCTGGGAACCATCACTTGGTCTTGGAGGCATGAAAGCTAACCTTGGTCCCTTTGTAGCAGCCGATGAAGATCTGGTTGCTGGTGCCTTACCCTTGGGAGCAGCTGGTGCCTTACTCTTGGGAGCAGATGATGAAGATTTACTGGTTGCTGCCTTACCCTTGGGAGCAGCTGGCTACCTCCTAGCTGGAGCAGCAGCAGATGTTGCCCTCCTTGCTGGAGCTGGACTGGCAGCAAATGTTGTCCTCCTTGATGATCCACCAGCAGTGGCAGCAGCAGAGGTTGCAGTCCTTGCTGGAGCTGGACTGGCAGCAACAGAGGCTGTTGTCCTTGCTGGTCCTGGTGTGCTTCTACTATCAGGTGGGTAAGAGCTGGTGATTGGCTGCAACGAAACAAGTAGTTTAATATTAGTAAGCAATAAAGTAACAACAAATTTAGTCTTTCTCATAGCAGAGTGGTTACCTGATGTTTATTCTTTCTCATAGCAAGTGCAGGCTTTAGAGCATCATGACAATTGGTCTACCTATGGCCCACCTTTTTACAGTTGGAGCAGGTAATTGAGGCCATTCTTGAAGTGTCTTTGGGAGCTGGCTTCTTAAATTGGCCCTTTCTCCTCTTAGTCTGTGCCCTGCCCTTGTGTTCTTTGAAAACAGAAGCCTCAATGTCCAAACTATCTGTCCTTGGCCACATGTCAGGGCCAGGTACATGATATATTATAGGACTGTAAACTGCCAGGTACATAGGTTTTTTGAAGAAATCATGAACAAAGTCCTCTGGCTGAAGCTTAGCCTTGTGTATAGCAGAAACATCATGATTGCAAGGAACTGTTGTCATATCCCACTTCTTACAACCACAAGTCCTATGTGCTAGGTTGACAACATATGTTCTCTCCTCACTAGTAACTTGAAAAAGGTTGGAGCCAGCCATCAATGATTGGCAGTTTCTAGACCACTTCTTTACTTCCTCTAATTTCTCCGCATATGTTGGACAAATCTCCCATCTGACAGTCCGAGTTTTAGTTCTATTTGTATTAAACTTGACCATTAATTTTGTTCTAATTCCATCAACCATGGTCCTTATTGGCTTAGCCCTGACATCTAGAACCCACTTGTTGAAAACCTCACTTAAGTTGTTAACTACTAAGTCTATTTTGCAATTTGTGTCCATGGCATGTCTGGCCCAAGTGTGCTTTGGGATTTTACTAAGCCAAGCCCATGCTGCCTCACACTCTCTCTTCAACTCATCCATTTGCAACATTATAACCATGTTCAGTGTATGAGTAACTTGCTTCATCCATGTATTTCTTCAATTCTGGCCCTCTAAACCCAGCATTTTGAAAGTTCTGGTAAATGTGTCTGAGGCAAAACCTTCGTGGACAATTGGGAAAGACTCTGTTTATGGCTTTAAGCAGGCCCACTACAAGAGGAACCCCCCTTTAGCAACGCATCGATTCGTTGGTGAATGTCTATATAAATGTTGCTATGGTCTACACCAACGGATTTTTATGTGTTGTCGTTGGTGGCGTTGCAAGGGCCTACAACAACGTATACAATTGCGTTGGTAATCGACACAAATAAGCGTTGCAATGTAGCAACATATATAATTGTAGTCTAACAACACTTTGATGTGTTGGTGTTGACACCTACACAAGCTGATTTGAAATGGGCATAATTAACAGATCAGTGTAATGCTTCTATTTTACATTTGGGGATTACAGCTATACATGAACAATTGGTAGTATTTTATATATCCAGCAATAAATACTAGATCAACAGAGATAGTACATAGGAGTAGCAATCCGGTAAACAGAAAGATCTCATATATTAAATCAACTCGTTTGCAATACATGGAACACGATCCAGGGAATATATACATGATTTTCTATACATTGACCATGAAAGTAACACTCTTAACATTAATGTAGAACTATCTGGTAGTTGCCCCATTCTCCGCCTTGCAATCAACAAATTAGCCATGCGCCATCTATTTATCTTGCAATCAACAGCTTAGCCATGGACCATCTATTTGTCTTGCAATCTACAACAACAAAAAACTGACATGAGTCACCAAGCCTGGCAAATAATGATATAAATCTGACCTCCATAGTAGTTTACACAATATTGTTTAAATTTTCTGTCATGTTACAACTTATAAGTTTTCCTATTTAAGAATGCTAAAATGACATTTCTTTTTCTAGCAGGTTAGTGGGTGAACTCAATATGGGAACCATCTAGTTCTAGTAGTTGGAAGCATCCATCAGAGGAAGAGGTGTGTTTTCAACTCTCAAAATTTTCCTGATCTTTCCCTTTTGTCAATAGTAGTAGTCATCATCTTTCAGATTCACCAAAGCAAGGTAAAGTATGCAAATGTAGAGGGCGCGAGAGAGAAGCTTACCTATGCGGTGGCACGCCTTTGGTGCAGCTTAAGGTAGGTCGAGTGGTCGGCGATTGACAAATGACTGATCAAACAATACAAATAGGTACAGAAAGCTTGGGAAATCGGATGTAGCTGAAACTGAAACTAAAATAAATGCATAAAACGACTTCATATTTGATAATTCAAAATATTTTTCATGTCTCTGCATGTTCATAGTTGTGATTCATGTAAACAAAAGTTAGAATATTCTTGCATTCAAATTCTGTAATGATTTATCTTGTATAACACATGAACACAAGAACTGTATCCATCCTAAGATTTTGTATAATATTCTGGATTATGGTGTATAGAATTGTACAAAATATGGATCCGAATGCTTTATCTTACATCAGCCAAGAATATCAAGCTAGATAACACGTATGCTAGTCTTCCATTGAAAATTCAACTATAGAATACGAAAATAAACAAATAAAAACATTGCATTTTTAAAGAACTTAATTTATTGAAAAGAGTGGTGTGGCGCAATCATCAACTTGCGAAGATCCCATTTAATAAAGCCAAAGCTCTGAGTTCATTCTTAAGGCATATTCTGTGAACTTATTGATTTATATATTTCCTATTTGCAATATTCACAAGTCTCGAAGATTTACCTGTTAAGAGAAACAACAAACACAAGCATGTTACCTGAAGCAAAGTCACTTTAGAACCTGTGAGAGAAGATGAAATTAACAAGTATACAATAAATAGGAATATTAGGACGAATAGATGCATGTGCGGCTTATTCCTATAGAACTACATTATGTGGGACAACGAAATCAGTAAGGAATCATAAACACTGATACGAAGATACTTTTTCTTTCCCAGAAATTAACATGATGTCATAGATAATAGTGCTCACCTATTAACTAATACTTGAAGGAATCTTCTTTCATGACTTGGTCACAGGGTCACAGCTAGGATATCCAGAGATACCATCACAGCTTATTTACTTGATCTGCCATGAAAATCTTAAAGGACAGACCCAGTGCATAGAAGCTCCCACACAAGGTGGGGTCTGGGGAGGGATTATAGGAACCTAGTCTTACCCCTGCAAAGTGCAATGCAGAGAGGCTGGTTCGAACCCAGGACCTCTTGGCACAAGTGGGGAGGACTTCACCACTGCGCCAGGCCTGCCCTCTGCCATGAAAATCTTCACGAAAATATAACTAATTATCCACACACATAGCAGAAAGAGAATCAAACCTAATTCATCACAAGAAAGAATTATTTAGGAAAAGAGATGGAAATATTCTTCCTGGATTAACACATACCCAGCTAGAAACAACTCTTACATGGGCAGAACTAGATGACAAACTGAAATATGCAAGCCCAAAACTGAAATACCTAGAAAGGTGAAGTGGAATTTTGGGCCTCGAGGCTCCAACAAGGTTGCTCACCAATCACCATGATGGTTGTTGTCCACCTGTGATCTACAATGGCACAACGGCTATCCCTAGGTGGTCATATTTCACTCTGCAGATGAGGACAGTGGAGCTCATGACCATTGAGTGATGCAGTGGATCAAGCATGTGATCGTGGTTCTACAACGTATGCGAAGAAAATTTATATGTTCGGGCAGTAATACAAAAATAGTTGTGTATTTAAAAGGACTATAATACACTGTTTATTTCACACATCCTCATATAAATACGATATAACTGATACAAGTATGTTTTAATGTCAACTTGAACAAACATAAAAGTTCCATTAACAGATATGTAGGTCTGGAGTGAATATAACTTACTTTCTTCACTATAACACAACCCTACTATATGTTCACACAAAGAAAAATCAGAGAGTAAAGCAATCAAAATTTGATAAGAAGATGGTTAAAAAAAACTAACTTCTGGGCTAGCCGCACGGAGGGCTCCATCCTATCAGCGTCCGGAGCCCGCGACTTCGTCGACCTCTCCATCGGCACAGCCGCACGCCCGCACAGAGGTCAGAGCGCCGCTCCCCCGTGCTCATCTGGCTCTAGTGCTACCGTGCTGGTGGATTTGGTGAATTTGGACTGAGGTTTTTTAGGAGCATTTGAACAGAGCTGAGCTGCGAAGTGTCTCTCGTTCGGTCGTGCGTGACGGTAGATGTGACTGGTTGCTGCTCTTGGGCTGCTGCTTAGTGGGTTGTGCCGCTGCAGCCGATGGGCTTTTATTGGTCTGTTTGTCACAGGAGAGCTACTGCGTAGTCTCTCAAAGAATGTACTCTTAGTATTTTTGCCATATACCTACATATAGGAATTTTTGTCACAGGAGAGCTACAGCCATGACCAATAGTGGATCCGCCCCTGCTTCTGGCCATCTGGGGTTCATAGCCGTCCATGCTATAAGCCTATAATTACCATTTGCACGTACTAGATATGAATAATTAAGGAGGTCAATGGCTAGTTAGCGATATTTGTTGCATTTGCAAGAAAAGGCTTTGCGACAGATTATGCACACATGTAAAGGACAACTGGGACAGAGAGTACATGCCACATATATATATTTGAGCTATATGCTATATATAGATATAACCGTCAAAAAATTGATTGAGTTGGTTAATTAGATGGGATGCAAGCTATTTTTTGTTGCTGCCAAATGCACTTACAAGCCTTATATATACTAGTACATTTCTAGATGCAAATTAGTTACTTTCTTTATGCAACTTGGCCAGGATAATTATTGTTAGAACGCCACAGTGGAAGAACAAATTTAGGCAGCACTCCTCAACAAAAGTAACGCTTCTACAGAGTAATATTTGGTTTATTAGGATCATCATCGTGATGGACGGCAAGGAATCAGCCATGGCACGATGGCCTTGCCACACAAAGCAGCAGAGGGGAGGAGTGACTTACAGGACTGTCGACGTCAGAGTCGAGGTGACCGAGGCGGAGCAGCACCGTTGAGCCCGAGTTGGCAGCCATGGGTGCGGAGACGCAGGGGTAGTTGGCAGATAAACCAGAGGCAGGGGAGCCGCACCAGCGACCCGTGGCCACTAGGGTTGCTGCGGGGGCGCGTGCAGGGGCGGGGACGACGTTAAGGCGGCGGAAGATAGGAGAAGAACAGTGAGGGGGAGGGGGCCGGTGAGCAGCGGCACGGAACTGCGCCGGAACTGCCCGGATTCGGGGGCGGCGGCAACGTTGTGGGCCTTGTGGCCATGGAGCTCGCGTGAGAGAGGGGAATCGGGGGAGAGATGTGGTACAGAAAAATATTTGTTTATTTATCCATAGCTGTGTGATATAAGACCTCTCCCAATGCAATGGTGCTTAGATGAGGTGCTAAGTGCATTAAATATCTTAGCAACTTAACTCCCCAATGCATAGGTGCTTAACTTGTTGTTGCTAAAGCACATTTTATTTAATGAGTTAACATCTAAAGTCTTTCATGCATTGGTCAAATTGCTTCATTTAAGTGGTTCTAGGTTCTCGCACTTGGCATTGGTTCTTCTCGGGGTCATCAAAGTGCTCTCTTCCCTCTTTAAATATTGTGCCATGTCATTTTTTGCTTATGTGGCATGCTTAGCACCTGTCCACGGTGGAGCAC